TTGTCTTAAGGGACGGCCCAACCTGCCAAAGGTTCACCCTCTCAGTCACTGTCTTTTAGTTCATGAGCGACAATACTAAAAAGCTTTCAGACAACACCTCTATTAAAAGAAAAAAGGACAACCCACTCCAACTCCAGCAGTAATTCCTTGTCTTTTCCTGATAATTACAAAAATAATAATCATAATTATTTTATATGTATGTATGACCGAGTCATAGGAAAGCAGAAAGCCGCTTCGGGTGTACAGTATCTCCTTTCCTTATGACTGTGAAGGACATGCCCTTTCGCCCTCCCTCCCTTTGTTTTACCCATAAATGCATAGCTATTAAAACATCTGATTATTTCATCCTGGCTGTTAGAAATGATGGTCTCTTTTTTTTTTCCCCACTCAGACCAGAGCCCATCACTAGCAATTTCAACAATTTAAATGCTCTGTTCTCTCTAAAACTCCACTGATTTGTTGCACAACTGTGTCAACAAAGGCTTTGCTTATCCCAAGGTCAAAGGAAAGATACCACACGGGAGATGATAATTGCTGAAAAACAGGATGCAAATAGATGTATGCATGTATGTTACCTCACACATTTGATCTTCCAATAATGAATCAGAACGTACAAGTAGGTAACACTATACAAGGTAGTGCTGTTACAGAAAAAAGGAACAATCCAGATGTGTGCTTTAATGTGTCTAAGTTTAGGGAGGGTTTTTTTAAAACCTCCTGGCCATAAAAATACATTCCTTGAGTCACCTAACAAGGTGGCATGGAAAGCTTTCATCTGCCCTAAGGTCACTGAATGAAAGGAAACAAATAAGGAAATAGACTAAGTTCCTTGGTTCATCTTGATGGACCTTCTAACATCCTGTGAATGGAAAACTGGCTTAAAGGGATGCGAAGGATTAGGGCAGAATGTTTTCCTAATTTATTAAGTTCTGAGGAAAAGAGTGTTAATTTGGGAAGGAAGGAAGGAAGGATCCAACCAATGTGTGATCGAGTCTTTCTTGCATGTACAGGGCTGATCCTTCATGAAAGTGCTAATAACTCTCAGGTTCTCTTGGCAGAGGTTACAGTTATCAGAAATAAACTCTTAAATGAGAGGAGACATAGTGATAGTTTTAAGATGCTCAAAAAGTAGAGGAGGATTATATGCAGGTTCTGTGCAGGAAAATTATGTATAACTGGAGGGGAGAGATGTCCTTCTGAGGAACTGTGGTGCGGAAGAGCACTAAGTGGCTTGTGGCAGGACTTGGAAGGGACAGCGGAAACAGCTGTGGATTGTCTACAAAGGGTGTTTGCCTTGAGTTTCATATTAGCCCTACTTAGAAAAGCAACTTTTTGATCTATGTTCCCTCTTATACCAATGAATGAACACCTTCTGGGTTATTTCATATACTCAATTGGTGGATGGTCTCCTGGAGGATAGCATGGTTTGTTCTTTTGATAAAATAAGCAAGGGAGAGGAAAGCATGGTGTTCACTAGCCAGGCAGCTGGGTGCAGTCAGTGGAGATCTGGAGGACACACAGGGTCTTGCGTAGGATGGTCAGATGTTGATGGAAGAAATAGGGTTTGGCTATGCAGGTTGTAGGATTTGGGACAACCATGGTCTCTGAGGTCAGAAAGGTACCATATTCCTCTTTATGTTTTTGATGTGCTGATGGTGGTTTATGTTGGATTGAGAAGGGAAAACAGCCAATGTAGGGGGTCTGAAATCCGGTCCATGGCATGAACCCAGAGCAGGATATATGAGCCCTAGTGCTTAAGCAAGGATCGTAAGTGTGCTTGAAGAAGGGACTTTTCTACTGGATGGGTCTTGATAACCTGTCTGGGGCCAAAGAGATTAATCTTTTGGATGGGCCTCTGTTAGCAGTGGGCGCCTTAGAAGACTGCAATCTAGGTAGGAGTAGGTGTGGTTTGCCTCCATAAAATAGGAAATCCCCCAGTAGTAGAGCCTCCTTGGTAGTTGTGAGCAGGGCTCCTCAGACCTTTCCTCCAGGGGGCCAGTTGAAAGCTGCCGGAAGGGCAGTGCCGGTGTGGGGGCGGCGCAGGCAGGCGTGTGCGCTGGGGTGGGGGCCAGGTGCGCGGTGAGGCAAGGCCAGGTGAGGCACAGGTGGGCGCGTGCCGGGAGGCGGGCGCACGAGGCAGCGGCTTGCTCGTTTGGAGATCGTTTTCTCCAGACGGGCATGGCGGACCAGATAAATGGGCATGGTGGGCTGAATCTGGCCCTGGGGCCATAGTTTGAGGAGCCATGGTCTTGAGGCTATCATAAACTTCCTGAGGTGGCTCCGATCTGGAATGGTATTTCAGGACACTTTCTTCATGTGGACCAGAAATGCAATGGAAATGTTTGGAAGTTGAAACAGGTTGAAACAGGTTCTATGGCCCCTATTTCTTGGATGTGGGCAAGTTCTATTGCCATTAGTTGCTTGTCAGTAAACCTAGGAAGTGGGCAGGACAGATGCCTTGTCCTGGAAGTGGAGTGAAATATCAGGAAATCGTCATGTTGTAGAGTGTTGAGAGACCAGGTGCTATTCCTGAAAGTGAAGGAAGTGCTGTGGTCTTCTGTCCACATGTGCAGGATGGGTATTAGAACTGCTGGCAAGGAGTTTAGGAGGACAGAAGTGGGTCTGATATACCCAGATTCGAGTTCTGAGATCTAGGCTGGAATCTGGTTCTAGACCAGGTAGCTTTTGTGAACTTGTAACTGCATGGTTAAAAGGAGGAGTTGAATGGATACCTGAAGGGAGTAAAGGAAGAGGAGGAGGAGGAATATCAGTCAGATATCTTCTTTCATCCCTCTTTGATAAAGAGGACATAGCCAACTTAAAGTGCTTGGTCTACAAAAAAGTTTCTGGGAGTGTGTTCCTGTGGTGGGGACAGTACTTGGGTTTCCTTTGGAATAAGCATTCCAATATTTCAGTAAGTTGCTGCAATGGTACATAACACAAAAATAATGAGATCCTGCACAAAATCTGAAATGAAACTGTATGCTTTGCATAATTAAAGAAGGGCTCCATGGTAAGAAAAAAGTATCCAGCTCTTTATTGTTGATCATCTTTTCAACCCAGAGGAGAATGGCTTGGGATATAATGGAAGCTGTAGAGGAAAGTCTGAAAGCCAAGCCTGTTTGTAGCCTCAGGAGGTTTTCCTCCCAGTATTGTTTCAATACTTCTTTTTCCTTTTTGCTATGATCCTTTGCAGGGAAGTCCCATCTTGTGGATTTATGGCTCCAGCAAGTAAGGCTGCTTCTAGAAAATTAACTAGAGGAACCTTGACTACTTCCATTATAGTCTGTGGTGAGGAGCAGTCTTCCTGAGCTATGCTGGAGGCACTTTTGCCTTGACCGGGGGCCCTTTCATTCAACTTGAACCTATATTTTAAAAGGGGAAGCAAAAGATCTCACAGTTTAGCTGACTTAGGCTCTGGAAATAATACTTCACTTCTGCAAGGCTGCTGATTGTTTCCTGAGAAGAATTAGTGACCGGGGGTAACTTCATTTATTCTCCTTTAGATAGGAAATGGAGAATATCATCATTGTGAAATAAACCTACACTGGGAAGTTTCTCTGCATTCAGCAGACCTGGCAATTCCCTTTTCAATTATCATGTTTCGAGTGGCAACATCTGAATCAGAAAGTTGCTTGCTTTGACTTATGATGTTTTCCCCTGACCATCATGAGGGTCAGGAGAATCAGGACTGATTCAGCAGAAGCTGTGGACAACCTATTTTTATCAGAAGTCTTAGAATGCTTCAGTTTAAGTGTCCTTTTTGATTTTTCTTTGGCTGGGGAGAAGCATCAGTAGAAAAAGAACTGGACAAAAACACTATTTCTCTGCATTTTATGTTCTTTTTGCTGATTAGGAGTGGTGTCAGTCCCATGCTAAGGGCCATTTATATTCCTTTGAACAATGCCAGATTCTGGGGGGGTGGGGGCGGCAGGGGCTGCTGCTCAGCTGAATTTCCTGTGGAAGCAGATGGCGTGCCTGAGGCTTGCTGTGGTTCCAGATTATTAGGTGGAAACGCCTGCTCTTGGAAAATGCAGGCCACACGTTCTTGGAATGCAAAAATGGAACCCTTGGTTAGAGGGGAAAATTGGGCATGTTGTGACTTCCCCCACCCCTGAAGCCCCCCAAAACACCTCATGTCTCCTCAAAATTTATCTAGACTGACGTGTGGGTCAACCTCCACCCAGGCAGGAACTATGGCAAGGGTGCCATCCTGTGTGAACCAGTTCCTTGAGGGGTCCACTGGGATTCTCCTGCATTTTCTGACCTGTGGGATAATCAGTAGTTGCCATGGCTACATTGACGCATGGCTTGGCTATGCCTCAAACTACTAATTCTGAGAAAAACTCTTCACAATCGGGGGCCACCAGCCCTTTGGTTCTTCCTGGCTTCTTTTGTGTTTCTTCACAAGGTTTGGAGTACTTTTTCCAGGTAGTGCCATCTTGTGGCAAAAAGGTACAAGAGTTGGGGAAAAGGACAACATTTGTTGGTGAGGGGAGAAAATGGACTTAACTAGAAAAGAGAGGCAAAGAGGGGAAGATAGAACAAGGATTAAAAGAACATAAAACTGGAAAAGGAGAGAAGAAATGAGAAGAAGCTGGTCCTGGACAAAGGCAAAGAACAAATGGCTGGGAGGAGACACAACGGCCAGGCCCAACACAAAAGGCCTGGTCAGGTGTTCTCTGGCTGTCCTGGGAAGTGGGAGGACTGAACCCATGGCAGATGCCTCCCATTCCCAAATAGGAATGTACTGCTACAACTATGACAAACGGATTATCGTCTACTGTCAGCCCTCCTGTCCTAAAGAATACAATGAAAAATGAGAGAGAGGCTACTTGCTCGGACGGGAGATTATTAAGATACTGTATGGATCTTAAAGGCCACCTCTGCTTTCTCACTATCTCACATTATTAGTAGTGTATTATTGTTGATAGTACTGTTATTAATTTCATGTCTTTGGGCATCTCACAGTGATGAAGTAATCACACCCAAAAGCCATATAAGTGTCCAAAATAAAATAATTTAATTTGAAAATGATCAGGCTTGTTCACTGGACACCCACAAAAGAACTTTGAACAGATTGACACAACCCTGCCCAGCCTGTATAATGGAAATATATCATTTTAAAAGGGAGCATAGGTATCACAAAGGCATTAATTTTTCACATAATCTCAGTTCATGGATTCCTTTTTGTTCCCCTTTTCATACCAAGATTTCTTGCATGTTAGCATGAGCAAGAGGAGCAATGGCAAGTGCCAGAGGCTGCAAAAAAACAACTTCCGGGAGCTGGCACGGTCAGCACGCCTGTAGAATTGAAAGCCAAGGTAGGAAAAGTACAGGTTGATTGGGAGAGAAATTAACGGGAAATTCCACGTGGTGACATCAAGGACAGGTGCCAGTGATGAAAGTCCAATCAAGGCGAGGCAGTGACGGACAGCCAGCCGCCTGCACATTGCTGGGTGAGTGACAGACATCATGCAGTAGCCACCTCGGGAGTAGTCTTCACGGAGGCCCCAGCTCAGTGCATTGAAATGAGGAAACTGCCATGAGTAGAGAATACCTCCCAGCAGCAAAGCTCCTGCAATGGAAGACAAATTAAGGCATTAGAGTACATACTAGCACCCCTGAAATGGGAATTCAGATAACTTGGCGGAGGTTTCTGCTTGTTCATTTTGTACACCCAGTAAATCACTTGCAGGTGCAGAAGTCTCATTAATATAATCAGCTTGCCCTAAGGCAGTGAAAGGTATACATGCAAGCTGCAAGGAACTGTTTACCTGCTTTAGACATTGGAGTTACTAAATCTGTACCATGTAAGATGCACAATCTGGGGACACTTCCTTATGAATTTTGTCTTGTTTTTCTTTCCTCCTGGCAGTTGCTTTTGGAAAAAGAAAATGTGTAGGCTGCATTTGTAGAAGGAGTCCAGTGGCTGCAGGACAATTCTGCTGTTTTTGTCCAATCCCTTTGCTTCTAAGTCCACTTCTAGCAACCTTTACACATAGAATTAAACCCCAGCCTTTACTGATGACTTGTTTTGTACTTGGCTTTTTCAGAATTACACTCTGACAATTTTATAGCTGCAGAAAGGAAGGATCCAAGCAGATTAGAAGGACAAGGGCCCATCATTCCATTTAAAGTCAATAAAACTAAGGGTCCTAGACAGGGGCAACAAACTTTGACTTCTTAAGTCAGCATCACCTGTCCTAAACTATAAACAGCATACAATGATCATTATACATACCATCTATTCATGCTATTCATATAGCAATTTAATAGAAATAGAATCAAGCTGTTCAGCTCCACCATAAGAATCCCACGTCTACCTCTGTTGTAGAGAATGCTTAAATACACCCCTTCCTTTTTTTTTTGAAAAATGCTAAACCTAAGGTATTTCCATCTGAAACTGACTTTTAACATTTGCACTCAAACTTAGCACATCACCCTACTTGGCACAGGCCCGACACACACATGTGTGCATGCACACACGCATGCACAACAAAGAAAAATAAGGAACATTTAATAAAAGGTACTGGAAAAAAGTGTAATAAAGCAAATCCTAGAAAAGTCTAGAGTAGATTTCAGAAAAAATCACCATGCTGCATTTCTGCTATAGGTTTACTAAGTAGAAATGTATGGAACTAGCCTTTTGAGCAGTCACATGGTTTAGGGTCTACAAATGGCTGACTGTGTTCATCAGTGTTATTAAGTGCTTAGTCACTCAATCCTATACACTTCACATGCCTTAACACTGAAGCAGCAGCAGCAGCAGACGGCAACAACTTAGTGATATCCCATAAATGTTTGGAAGGCAGGAGATCTGAGAGTGAAAAATACTTTCACTATTTGAACATTTTGGGCCTATTTATTCAATCTGTGAATTAACTACCCTGAACAAACCATAAAAGTTGATGTGAAGCAGCAATTAAAGGGGAAAGGGAAACCATAATAAGAGTTCAGAGATCCAGACCATATAATTGTCATGATAATTATGGAACATTTCCTCCTACCTTATGTGGTCTTCTGCTACAAGACTGGATCCTGTGCCACTGAAATTGAGCCCAGAAGCCCATTAGCTTCTTCAGAAATATTAGTCTCTTTCATGTGGAGTATTTATAGGTGCATTACTGGATCGCACAGACTGCATTTTTGAATAGGTTTTGCTACACTGACTTATATGTGACTCAGGGCCTGCTCTGCCCATGAAAGAAGGAATACTGGGAACAGCAAGAGTGCAAGAAGCCCTAACGTTGCTTCAGCAAGATGGTTCAACGATCAAAGTTTGTTGAAATCACTATTTCAGTGATGATGGAAATTGCCAGTCATAGGCCATCTAGCTGTGCCACTGAAATTTTGCCTCATCTTCTAAATGAGACATGCTGATTTATCAGGGAAATGCTTTCTCACACCTCCTCTTGATCGAAGCATTTTTGGAGATAATGGAAAGTCACTGGACTTTCATCACTGAAAGTCATTGATGAAACTCAGTCATGAGAACCCCAGCTTTCAATTTCTGGAATTTCTGTCTGATTGAGCAAGAAGGAGAGGGAAGTGTTGCATTTACTGGCGCTGCGCCCTGTTTAGCCGCTGGCCACTGGTACTGAGCAGTGGCCTTATTCAGGGAGAGGAGGCTGGTAGTCCCTGCAGGGATTCTGCGCAAACTTGCCCCTCTCTCTGGGTATAGCTTTTCACTAATTTTTCAGAACCATGGGGAAGGTTCTAAAAGTTTGCAATTGAGTTGCAACTGGAGCAGAGTGGGATGCCTTTGTTTCACCTGCCGGGTTTGGAACGGTCCTTCAGTAGCAGAGGCATAAGTGCCTGTTTGTTCCCCTGTGGCTGAAGCCCTTCTTTAGGATGGAGCTTAAAAAGAAAAAGTCAAGTAAACGTTAGGAAATTATGTTTCAGTAAATGCACTGAGAGGACAATGAAGTTATTTTCTACTCATGACTGACTGCCCAAGGTGTATGTGAAAAGTCTTGTAATGGGGCAGGATTTGTTCAACTGTGTTATCATTCACAAACTCAGACTAAAGCCAAAGGCACTTTATGTTAAAATCCAAGAATAGAAAGTAAAGTTTATAGTTGGAGCTCCAAATCAAGTTGCTACCTCTTTCATTGTCTTAGCTTTTGGTTTCATAAATGTATGACAGAGATGGCCAACCAGGCATGTAAAATAAACACAGAATGGTTAAAGTATCTGCTCCAAAACAGATGTTGAAGTCTTACTGCATTTCCTAAAGCTATTGTTTACTGCCTTGGCAACCCAAGAATGCCATTTTGCTTAAAGCACAATTTTAGTAATTCTTCTGCCTTGAATAATGTGAAAGAATTTTAAAATTATTTCCAGATTCTGGTAGCTGACTGACACACTGTAGTGGGAGGCGGGAGAGGCACCGGTTTCTTGTCTCTTAGGAAACAAATTAAATATTTAAGTTTCTGTAAAAGGTTGTAGGGATCTTGAAGTCTACATTTAGCCATGAATGGCCTGTACTGGGAATGGTGTGTTTTGGTTTTCCTGTATCTTGGTATGGTAACAACCTGCTCTTCTTAGCTAAAAAGATGTCAAATCAAATTATTCCCCTTTAATCCAGATGAGCAAGATTAGAGCTGGAAAACAAGAAGAAATTCAGCTGCACCCATTTGCCTTTGGAGAAACATGATTGGCAGTCATGTAGCTGCAGCTGCCTCATTTTCAGCCTCAGAAACAAGATGAAGTATAACTGAACCTTATCTTTGCCTAAAGAATTCTGTTTCCATCAACTGAATAGATTCCTCAGCAAAAGCTGATCCAGCAGAAACACATTACCAGCCCACACTGAATTAAAAATTTAGCTATAATGCATAGGATTGTGCCCAAAGTCACATTAATTCTACAGGAGATATTTAAGTATATGCTTCTTCCCCACTAACAGCAATGGAGCTTTAGGGTGCAATCCAATCAATGCAGGCATCCCAGGCAGGGCAGAAGCAATGTTGAGGCAAATATCACTGCTGTCTTCTGGGTAAACACTGGGTAAACACATAAAACACTTCAATGGGCAGTTTTGGCTGTCTCAGTGCTGTGTAAGAGAAGGATGCTGAGGTGCCACCAAGTTACTTTGTACCATGGCAGTGCCTGTCTTCTCCCCTCTCTGTCCCTCAGGACACCCACAAAAGCCCTTCTTTAAGATCATGTTTCAAACTTGTAGAAGCAGCTGGTGGAGCTCTTTCTGCAGAGGCTGTGAGGGCAGGAGGCAGGTTCTCAAGCTTGGAGTCCCAGGGCCAACCGCAGAATGAATGTTGAAATTAAGGCTCCAAACTTGGGACTCCAGTGCTCAACGTTGGCTGGAATGCTCAGTGTGATTGATGTATTGATATTTTTATAATATTAAAACTTATTTTAATTTAAAATTTTATTTTAATTTACTCATACAAATAAATACGAGAATAATATCCAATCCAAAATGGAAACCACATGGGAATATCTAAATAAAGAGATATACAAGAACCACCACCCATTCTAAAATCTGGGTTTCTAAAATGCCTAGGAAAAAAGTTGTTGCCTGGCACTGCGAAGAGAACAGGGAAGGCACTAGTGAAGTCTCCACAGAGAGGGCACTTCACTAGTGGGGCACCACAACGCACAAGACTCCCATCTCTTCTAGTCAGCTATCTAAATTCCTTCCGCAGGGCATCTTGCCATGGATGTTGAAGATGACTGAAACATTTCAGCAGTACATACAGGAGGAAGTGTTTCTTTAGATACTCTGGCCCCAGGTTGTTTAGGGATCTAAACATCAATACCAACATGTGGGATTGGGCTCAGAAGGGATGGGAAGTCAGTGCACCCATAAACCACTGGTGTCACATGATCACATTGACCAATCTTGGTTAGTAGATGCCTTGTGTCATTGCTCTCAGAGCCAAGGTGGACCAAGGAGCTAGTCTGGCTCTGCCAAAGGGTTAAAGGTGCTTGGTGTGATGGTGTCAGTTGCCCTGGTCAATCATGTCCAGTAGATTGATCAGGATTTTGGCAGAGCACTGGAAAAATTTCCCACACCAACTGGAAAATTTCTGCTGCTAGAGTTGGTTAGTCTCTGGGGGTGGTCTTCTCTAAGCAGTTCCTCACCCCTGTGGAGGGGAAAAGTTGCTCAAAATCTAAATTTCAGCCGATAGTTATCTGACCATGACAAATGAGAAGAAGTCCAATCATCTACTTTCAGGACGCACTCTTTCTGTCCAACTGAGAAAACCAATTCCAGAGTATGACCTGCTACATGTATTAGATTGATTACATGTTGGGATAGCTCTATGGTCATCATGAAGTCCTAGGAAGCAACAGATTGGACAGCTCCAGCACAGATGACAATAATCCTAGCATCAGTCTTTGGTATCATATATGATACCATCTGTCAGGGAGGCTGCTTGGTGGTCGGATGGACAGTACGGCGGCAGAACCTCTAACCTGCCCAAGCTCCCATATCCAGAAGGGGCAGAGGCAGCCTGGCAAACCACTGCAAACTGCTTCCCATGGACCCTTTTGTTAGTGTTGATGCAAGTAACGAGTACTCAGTGGTACTGGGTGAAACTGCCTTAGGTT